AGCCAGAGAATGGCAGCCTGGGCCAAAGGCTTCTGTCCCATCCCCAGGAGCAGCAGCCCAAAGCCCCCCAGCAGGAAATTAGGGGCTAGGAGCGGCCACAGCAACCCAGCCATAGCCGCTCTTAGCAGACAGCTGGGAGCAGCCAGGTCCCCCTCCCTCTCCAGGGCAAGCAGCAGGTGTCAGCACCCCAACCTTGGTCCCCACCCAGCCTAGGACAGGGAACAACCGGGGCAGAGTCGAGTCTCGGCTCAGCCGGAGTTTCCCGGGCACCAGCCAGGGCGGAGCACGGCCGGCCCTATGTTCCTACAGCTCATTCCCTGCTGCGGGCTTGAATTCTGGGAAATGGGACACTTCTGTTCTTTCTGTAAAAGGGAATGTGTGTTCATCAGATATGCAAATTAAGGGATTGTCATTTGCATAAGACCAGCACCCTGACCTTGCATCTTCCCTGCGCCTTCCTCCCCCCCACCACACGTTCTCCTCCTCCATCTCCCCTTCTCCTGCTCTCCATCCTCCTTTCATTCAGCACCGCTGACACTTTTGTGTAAATTTCCATTCCCATTCCTTGGGCTTTCCATTTCCTGTCACTCACTGGAGCTGTAGATAGCATCGTCCAGTCATCCACCCTTCTCCCCCTTCAACGTCAGGGCGTCTGGACAATCCGGGCCTAGCATCCGGCCCAGCTCCGCTGCCTCCAGACGCCTCTGCTTGCATGCAGTTGTCTGGAGCCACTGGTAAGCGTCAGTCCCCAGAGGGAAGTGATGGAAATCCTTTCAGTGGCTGGCCATCTCCAAGGAAAACATTACCCTGAGGGGGCAGCCAGGCCCAGCTGCTGGACCCCAATTCACCCCCTCTGCTTCAGGCTCATTCTCCCACCCTCTGTGTATCGGACTCAGGAGGTTTGTCAAAGGATATTGAGCTCCCTTTAAGGAAGAGCTCATGGTGTGTCACAGTTCACTACCACCACCCTAGTGAATCCTTTGTTACCTTAGGATGTGTTGTAAAACATCTATAGGCACCTAAGGCTTCACAGCTGTTGCAGTGCTGAATGTTAGGGCCACTAGGAACTTAACAGAAGCAGCTGGGACATCAGATCTTGCACGGATAGTCCAGGCCTGTGTGCCAAAGTAGAATCTCCATTAGCTGTTAGCTGTATAGGGCCTCTGACACACAACTGAACAATTCTGATCCCTCCAGTGAAAGCCATCGGTCTGTCTGTCCGTCTCTCACGCACGCACACACACACACACACAATTTAATTAGTATATTTTCTTCCTTTGCCTTGTCTTCATTGATTACCTGTAGGAAAGGGGTCTCACCACCATAGCACTGGCAGCTCCTGTTCCTCCCTGCCTTGGCCATTCACACAGGTGGACAGAGAGTTGTCAACCTGACCGTCATTCTCAACGTGCTGTAGCCACGGAGCCTCTTCTCTCCCCGCCTGCACCTCACCTTCTTAATATCAGTGAGACCCTCAGGACGCAGAAAGGGGAAACTAGCCAGCTCCTACTGTAATTCCCTGCTCCCCCTTCATCCAGAGCAGGGGCAATGCCTGCCCTTCAGCAGCAGCAAGGGCTCAGTCATAAAGTGTCATGAGCTGGGGACTTGTTCCTGCGGGATATGGAACCGAATACCCCTAGGCCATTGCTGGTCTGAATCCAGCTCAGGTGGTCTGTGTGAGATGAGGTGTCTCGCCATGTCCTCACCCAGTTCTCCGGGTCTCAGCTCTAGCAGGATGGAATTTTTCCGAGGTCAGTGCAAAATAGCCACACAAAAAATATGTATTTTATTTATTTCAGAGTAACAGCCGTGTTAGTCTGTATTCGCAAAAAGAAAAGGAGTACTTGTGGCACCTTAGCGACTAACCAATTTATTTGAGCATGAGCTTTCGTGAGCTCATGAAAGCTCATACTCAAATAAATTGGTTAGTCTCTAAGGTGCCACAAGTACTCCTTTTCTTTTTATTTTATTTATGTTTATTTTCCTCAACATTGTTGTGTTTTTATTTTCCTGAGGTTTGGCCAGTTCTAGTCTCAGCTTCTGCCAAACAGAGCCAGGGGGGCATATTCTGATAGCGTTACTCACACCGAGTAGCACCTTTCGGCTTCAGAAGTCCCATTGCCTTCAATGGGACAATTCCCCAATCAGCTGCATTGCAGTCAGCGGGAGTAAGTAAAATCTGCTTGCAGGATCAGGTATCTAACTTGCCCCTTACAATGAGGATTCCACGTGCATTCCAGTAACTTAGATTTTCTATTTTGTTTTTTTGAATGGCACAGTATTATTGTCCCCTCAGTAAAATGTTGCATGCCCTGGTTTTTAGATGATGTAAATAACAACTTCTGATCTTTCCGATTTCCACTTACCCTGCTGCAGACCAGGGGGTGTACGTGGCATGGCGTGCGGGGACAGGGACAACTTCTTGTCCTCAATTGTTTGTGAAAGGTATAGCCTGATTCTGTCAAGTGTTGGTTGCAGCAGGGACATAGCATTTTCCATACCGGATAAGAGCTTTATTACGTTCAATCTCCTGCCTTGGGCAGCGGCCAATATGTGACACTTCAGAGGAATTTTTAAAAAGACCCAACATAGAGCACTTGGCCTGTTGCGAAATGCTGTGTGTTTTGGTGGGAGGGCACCGGGCTGGAATTCCAGACCTCGATGGGAATTGACCGTTCATGTCCTGAAGTGTGAGTCACGGATTTCTCTGTGCTCTGGCGTGCTGAGATCTCACAATTGATTCATGGTCAGTTTTGTGTGGATGGGTCTGAAAATTTCACTTTGAATAAGGTTCAGGATTTCAACCCCCGAAGCACAGGGGTGTTTGAAGGTGGAAGGCTTGTGGCTGAGTAGGCAGTGTCGTGTGCTATTTGCGGATCTGGGAAAGGCCCCCCCCAAACTAAAGCCCCCCACCATAGCTAAGGGGGAAGAACCGCTAACCCCAGGCCATAAGTGAGTATGTAGGGAAACAAATTTAAAAATAGGAGCAGGAATGAGGTCAGAGATTGAAAATCAGGGAACCAAAGGGGGATGCTGAGCAGAGAGCCCAGGACAGTGCCCATTGTCCCTCAAAGGCATCTAAGGTGTCAGTGAACACTGCTCAGAGGACCTCAGCCAGGGTGCATGCTATGTAGGCTCTGTGGCACAATGGATAGTGCATTGGACTTCTAGCATAGTGACAGATTAAGTCATTCAAAGGTTGTGGGTTCGAATCCCACCAGAGTCATATTTTGGGGGTTAGATTAGATGACTCTTGTGCTCCCTTCTAACTCTATGGTTCTAGGATAAGGCATTGGGCTGTGACTCAGGAGACCTGGGCTTTGTTCCTGACTCTGCCACAGACCTGCTGGGTGACCTTGGGCAAATCACTTCATCTCTGTTTCCCCTAAAAAAACAAGGAGTCTGGGGGCACCTTAAAGACTAACAGATTTATTTGGGCATAAGCTTTCGTGGGTAAAACACCACTTCTTCAAATGCATGAAAGCTTATGCCCAAATAAATCTGTTAGTCTTTAAGGTGCCACCAGACTCCTTGTTGTTTTGTGGATACAGACTAACATGGCTACCCCCTGATACGCTGTAGCCCATGAAAGCTTATGCTCAAATAAATTTGTTAGTCTCTAAGGTGCCACAAGTCCTCCTGTCCTTTTTGCTGATACAGACTAACATGGCTGGTACTCTGAAAACTATTCAGTGTATTACGGGGATATTGCAGATTATGTATTCCTTACACCACCAGATCCTAAACCGAATTTTGCACCCCTTGATAATCTGTACCTTATTCCCTGATAACCAGAAATTTCTATGCTTAAACTCTGCACCGTTTTCTTTTTATTTTAACATCATCTTAATAAACTTATTAAATCCATCCCCGCTCTGTGGCTGGCTTACAGTGGATATGACTGTACTACAGGTACCAGTTAACTGAGTTACTCCTTCAGCTCAGGTGGTACGATTCACATTTTAGTGCTGGGCAATCCAGGGGTCGATGCCCAGGAATGACCTGTGATGTCTGTCGTTACCCAGGGCATAGAGCGAAAGGAGGGAGCATAGCCTTAATTTGGACTTTCCTCTCGATCAGCATAGTTTTAGTGTTTGAATGATTTTGCTGCTGCTTTTCCCTGGAGCTAGTCTCAGAGTTGGCCCTGACAGACCCTGATGAAAGTCCATACAGCTGCAAAGACAGGACGCGTTCTCCAGAGAGAGGGTGTATTCCTGGTAAGCTGGTGCTTCCCCCGCCTCTTAGCCAAAACACTAGGAAGAATCCTGTTTGGTTACTTTTTTAAAGAGCAGTTACAGCTGATTGAGGAAATGTCCTTTTCAGTAACCTAGGAACGGTTCAAGATATTCCGTCCTTCTGTCCTTCCTTGCTTCCTTCCTGTATTTACGGCCTCTAGAACAATCCCTTCAGGGCTAAGTGTTCTGCCAAAGCAAATTTTTAAGCTTGACATTGTAAACCCTTGGAAACTAGAGCTGAAAGTGCCCCCCCCCCAAACCCCTAGCCCTTATCCTACCGGCAGCATCTAATAACTGCCAGATGTTGCTTCCTCAGTGCATCCCAACCCCCTGTGCTCAGACACATTCTGCCCCCAAGTCCCTTCTCAGCTCCTGCTGCACCTCCTTCCTATGCCCCCAACCTGGAGCCCCTTCTTGCTGTCCTGAGCAGGAAATGGGCTCCCAGGGACCTCTTGTTACAATAAGGACAATGCAGCACAGCCTTCTCCCCTCCTACCACTCAGGCTTCTTAGATAAGGCTTCAGTTGCCCTTTGATCTGTATCCTCTCCTGGCCTCCCCCCCCCTGGCCCCCCTCCCCCCGCATCCCTGACCCCTTCTCTTCCCTGGCCACTCTGTGCTCCTGCTCCCCTCCTGATGTCCCAGGCCCTTCTCTCTTCTCCCATCCTCCTGTGCTCCTTGCCCCCTTGAGCCCCCCTTCTCACTGTAACTGTTCTGTCCCTCAGCACTGCAGCGAGATGACTGACATTGAGTTGTTTCCCCTCTAGGTCCCATGAGCGCTGATGTTTGCACCCTTCAGCAGATCATGAAGGACAAGGTGTCTTACACAACAGGCAAGACTGTGAGTGGCTGTGTGAGCCGCAGCACCGTGGGGAGACCCCAGGAAGTCCACGTTCTCCAAGTGAAAATGGAGAAGGTCAGTAATTGGGGGCTTGGAGGGTGGGGGAGAGACGCAGTGACACAATGTCTGCTCCCTGTCAGCAGACAGACCAGGTGCTTTCACTGCCTGGGGCATATGGCTTCATAGGCGGAGTTTGGGGGGAGGGCATTGCCCCCCCCCCCCAAACTGCAAGCCTCAGGCAGGCAGCCTGAGAGTGTAATATAAGGAGTTCTGTAGAGGAGACAGGAGAGATACTGCTGCTTGCCCCCTGAAGCAGGGAGTCAGAATTTTGTTTCTAAACAGAGATTAACAGGTGATTAAGATAAGAAAGGGCTGTTAGGATGTTTTCTAAAGTTAACTGATCTGTTCCAAGCTTGGTGAACTGCAACAAGTAAGTAGCCTAAATAACAGAATGGTAATTGTAGATTTTTCTACAATTGTTGTATTCAAGAGAAGGTAACAAAGGATGATGTTTTGGGATGATGGTTTTTTACACACAAAAGCTTATGCCCAAGTAAATCTGTTAGTCTTTAAGGTGCCACCGGACTCCTTGTTGTTTTTGTGGATACAGGCTAACACGGCTCCCCCTTGATACTTTCTGATTTTTTAGACAAAGGAAATGCAGTAGATCTAATCTACCTGGATGTCAGTAAGGCATTTGATACAGTTTCACATGAGAAATTATTAGCTAAATTGGAGAATTAAATTGGGGATTAATATGAGAACTGAGAGGTGGATAAGGAACTGGTTAAAGGGAAGACTACAGTAGGTCATACTGAAAGGTGAACTGTCAGGCTAGAGGGAGGTTACTAGCGGAATTCCTCAGGGATCGGTCTTGGGACCAACCTTATTTAACATTTTTATTACCGACTTTGGCACAAAAAGTGGGAGTGTGCGAATAAAATTTGCAGATGACACAAAGTTGTGAGGTCTTGCCAATACCGAGGAGGACTGGAATGCCATACAAGATCTGGATGACCTTGTAAACTGGAGTAATAGAAATGAGATAATATTTAACAGTGCAAAGCGCAAGGTCACGCATTTAGAGACTAACAACAAGAATTTTTGCTATGAGCCAGGGACTTATCAGTAGGAAGTGACAGTGGAGGAGAAAGAACTGAGTGTATTGGTTGATCACAGGATGACTATGAACCATCAATATGATGCGTCTGTGAAAAAGATTAATGGATGCATCAGAAGTTTTCAGTTGCGTAGGTAGCCCCTCGAATCACGGTTAAAGTGGCCCCCCTCCCCCAAAAAATCTGAAATGGCGCCCCTGTGCAGGCACAGAATTCCCCCCTCCCTCCCTATTGCAGCCCCGTTGGCCTGACTGGAGCCACCCCGCCCCACACACACACACTAAATATAGACTGGTTAACCTGTCAAACTACGCCTATGCTAATGGCCCTGGACCTGGGGAAAATCGGCCCCAGCACAGAGGTCTGGTATGGCTGTTTGGGAAAGGATCCTTTATGTATAGGGACCAGTAAGCTGGGAAGTCAGGCTCTGTGCTACCAGGCTGGCAGCCCTGAACTTGGTTCCCTGCTAGGCGCAGCGCTAAGAATGAGTGGTGCGAGGTGAGGATTTAAATACCATTTAAAAAGTTAACAGTTTAAACTATTAAAAAATACTTCATTTAAACGGTTAACTGATTAAAGGGAGAGGGGCTGGGGTTGCTCTGGCTGGCCAGTGCGGCTGGGGCAGGTCCTGCCGGTGTGGCTTGGGGCCAATCCAGCTGGCGCGGCTGGGGCCACACGGGCCAGCATGGCTGAGGCTGCTCTGGCTGGCCGGTCGTCTTCCCTGAGACAAGAACCTTTTTAGATGCTTGCAGAGTACATCCCCTCACTTGTTCCAGTCATTGGACAATGCTCCCTCACTCACGGAGAGCTGATGTAACCTTTTTTAACTATAGACCATTTGTGAGGAGACCACCTTTTTCCAAAGCTTGGGTGACAGGGCAACAGGCTGTCAGTTCACGCTCTACTGGCTCTTCATGACAAAAAGGATATTTCTGCCTGGGGGGGCGGGGGGATGTTAAGCATGTGGCGCACTGACAAAATGTGTTGCGTCTTCCCCCCAGCTGATCCTCAGTGGCTATTTGCCTGCTACTTCCCCAGCTAAGGGAATCGGTCCATTAGCTCAAGTGGTACCTGTCTGTGCTTTGGAGCAGGAGGTCCCTAAAATCAGTCCAGCCAGAGGGTCGTTTTAAATGAACATTTAGATTTGGTAGAAAACGGCAGACGTAGTGGAATCAGTCTTCGTAATATCCCCAGTGGCTCTGCTGAGGATTACCTAGTTCTGCTTTCTCGGGGGGAGGCTGTAAGGGACAGTCTGTTGTTTGTAGGAAATGAAAGAGTTTCCACAATTGTGGTGACAGTGAAATCTCTCAGGCTCTATAGGACGAGATCCCTGGATGTTTAAAAGATATTTGGAGTTTCCCTAAGCAACCTCGTCTTTCTGATCCTTCCTTCATACTCGCTTTTCTCCTGAATTCCTACCCAGAACTAATTCTCTTCAGCAGTGTCACCTCATCTGTTCCCGCTTCTGCACCTACTCATGTGTCATTTGTCTTGACTTTGTCTGGATTAGGCTGTCATTTCCCTTGGGGGAGAGTACCCTATTTCTTCGTGTGTTGAGAAAGGGCTGTTCGTGCTAATAGTGCTCTCTAAATAATCTGTTGCTTTTTCCTTTTGTCCCAACTAGTTTCACTAAATATTATTAAAATATAACTGTTCTACATGGCCAAAGAACAGAGCGCATGGCTGTTCGATTAAGAAATAATAGCAAGGAAGGCCAAAAGTGAAGTCTCTCAGAGAGAAAGAGCGCGGTGTGTGATTCCGCGCAGTGGGGTCCTGGTCCGTGACTTGGACTGCTCGGCGCTACAGCAATACAAATAATAAACAGTAACGATAACAACGGCTGCTGTCTCCGCATTCCGACAGAGCTTGAAAATTCCAAGGTGCAGCGTGCAGAGAACAAAAAGCATCCAGCTTAATAGCAACCAAATGCAAAGTGGCAACGGAAGGGTTGTGCGCAAGACTTTTCTGTTTCCTCTTGAACTCTGTGTCCAAGGACTGGGTGTGATATTTACAGTCTTTATTGTATCCAGCCAGAGGAAGGCTGCTGGGTTTCTTTCTGCTTTCTAAAGGTCTCATCACCCGTTTGTGGATGCTGAGCCAGATCCTCCGCTAAAGCCAATGGAGCCATGTCGAATGACACCAGCTGAGGATCTGGTTAGTTATTATTTTGCGGTCCAGAGGCCGTTTGGGCTTTGGGCACTGCAAAGAATCAAACAGTGCAGCGGGGAAGCTGGTGTGAACACAATGTGCCAGCCAAGGTGGTTTTATTCGACGAGCAGCCCTTAGGGCCTGTCCCCCTAGTTGAGAAAAGACTGAACCCAGCTGTACTGAATCTATAGGAAATTCTGTATGGAGGCTCTGTCACATTCCGGGGTGCAGTCCAGCCCAGTGAGGGGTTGTCTCATCACCTTCTCTGTAACCCTGGGTGCCTCACAGTGCTTTGCTGTTGTCGCTCCCAACTTGGGCTGCTCACAGCCCGCCTACCAGCATGTAGGTCACACCCTGAAGTGTCTGTGTGCTAGACAGGACTAGTTCAACACTCTGACCCCAGCAGCTGGTCTACAGCCCCTAAGCCACACTTTGGCTTCCACCAGCCTTCATTACTACTTGCAGGGGGACCCCCAACACACTCCCAGTCCCAGATTTTTCCCAAAACATCTGTTCTGCAATGTCCAGCCCTTTCCTGGGCAGTTCAGAGAGATGTTATGGTTTGCTTCCCCTTTAAGGAGTCAAGATTCAATAGTTTGTTACTTTCACTGGAGTTACTAGACAGTTTAGTTTAAACACAGCACTGGATGGGTTTAGATGTTACTTTCACTGGAGTTACCAGACAGTTCAGTTTAAACACAGCACTGGATGGGTTTAGATTAAAAATAAAATACAGTTATTAACAAAAGACTATAGGATTTTAAGTGCATTCAAGTATAAGAGATACAATTAGAGACGGTTACCAGCAAAAACATACTTAAAAGTCTAAAACTTAATCTAGCAAGTTTTGGTTCCAGACTTTGCTCAAGATGGCCATTCTCACCCCAGGCTTTCAGCAAGCTGGTGACTGACCCTATCCACAGTCAGGATCTCTCTCCAAGGCCCAAAGGTGCTGCTGCCTTTGTCTTCTTGGGTGAAAGAGACAAGCTGGGGTTCTCTGCCCCTTTCTTGGATAGCCCAGTGAACCTTTGCAATGGATTCCTCTGAAGGTTACGCCTCAAAGGGAAGTTTATCATGCAGTGAGGAAGGCACCATGGAGTATGGCGGGGAAGGAGGCTCCAGCCTCTTTTTTCCCCCACTTGTGTTTGCTGAAATTAAAATTGTTCTGCTTCCTCCCCTCTCCTCCCCCTGCTGACCTGAGGACCCTGTTTACTACTTATATGTAACGTGAGGTAAACGCACATTTCTTTGTTTAGGATAGACCGGTTTAACAACTGTACCCTCAGCAGGGCTGTCTGGCTCTGAACATATGCTCATAACAGGGGAATTCATAACTGTACATATAACGTTGCTATATACATTTCACCAGGATATTATTGACCAGCATTTTATTAGTTTTTAGATGATACCCCACAAGGCATATTTTATACAAAGATTATTACACTAGTGTGTAGGGTGTGAATACGGTGATGCTTTTGGCCACAGGCTCCTGGATGCAGGCAGCACTTGTGGTTCGCCTGGACCCTGTGACCTTAGGGTTTGTGTGTTCCGAAGTAGTCATTTAAGGACGAAAACCAAACTGAATTCTTTAAGTTTTGAGCCTCCAGCACTGTTACAGCTCATTTAATTTTGTGGCAGACTGTGAATAACATGCGTGATAGAATTAAAAAAGTTATTTATTATCAAATATCTATTTAACAATCAGGCCTGGCACCATAACCAGACACTGCACTGATACTCACATGCTAAGAGGAAAGCCACATTTAGAGGTGAGTGGTCCCTAAATGAGGAGACTGGGTATAATCATTT